AAAACTAAGCTAAAAAATAACTTGTTTCCCTCTGCCAGTAGAGCTCAACCAGACTTTCATTTTATTTATTAGCATTGGTTTGAAACCAAACAAAGCCATAGTAACTGTATCTTTACATTCTTACAATGAGAAGCAAATGGTCAATGACAGTCACAATTTACCAATCACTGGAAAAAGTCAACCAAACAGATTTTAAGGGAGGTACTGCTTGAAACTCCAACCAATATACACCGAAAAGCACCCTTTTATTGTATATTAGTGACCACTGTCTTCACCTACATTTCCTGTGTTTGACTTAATAAAAAAGTTTCTCAAAAGTCTGCAAAGCTAGTCGCATATGCTCTAGACTGGATAAAATATTCCAGAATTCTTAACTCTCTCATTTTTCTTTTAATATCAAAGTAGTGTGTCTCTTTTCTGAAGTATAGCTTGTCTGTTATTATATCTCTAAAAATAATTTATTGCTTTAAAAGTAACTATAAGAATGTGGTTAGCAGTTTATTTGAGTACAGATTAAAAGATAAACTAATAAAGGATAGAAATCCAGAAGAGCAAAAAAGAATAACAACCAAAATGGCATTTGAGATCTCAGAATATACCTACTGCTATATAATCTCGTTCTGGGAAAATACTATTAGCTATGATACTATGTTCCTGTTTCATTTAGTGGTAATAAAAATGAAATAAAAACTAATAAAAAAAAGTATTATTTTAAACAGCCCAATTTCTTAAGAAAATAAATACAGGTTTTTTATCCCAAATATGATTTCCCCCCATCAAATGAATCTGAAACCACTGTTAATTCACTAACAATACGACTATCATTAAAATCACAAGTTCTGCTTTTATCAGTGTTTATAAATTTGCTCCATTTTTTTTTTAGAAAAAGAGATTTCCAAATCTCCACTGAACTATTTTAATTTTAACACAAAAAAACAGCAACAACCTTATATGAAAAGAAATGTAAAGCAAAAAGTAGTAGGCTTGCCTTTTAAGGCAAGCGGTATTTAGATTTATTATTAGTGAGGTTCAAAGGTTAAAACTAAAAAAAATGCTGGACACTTTGAAGGAGGGGCTAGCTCAGCCAGGGGGTCACATGAGAGCTGCTAATTGGAAAATGTTAAAAAAGGAAGGGGGAAGAGCACAGTATCTGCCTTCTTTCTTTATTGCAACATTTGATTTGCACCAGAAGAAAAATAAAAAATAAAGGCTAAGATTTATGTAACTCTCAAAAGAGGCCTAAAATAAATAAATCATCCCCAGGTTGACTGAGCACAGCTAACATTCCATCAAGGCTTTCTTGCAAAACAGAAAAAAAAAAAATTTTTAAATTTTGAATTTTAAAATCAAACTATATTTCTATGGTGATTTTTAAATGAAGACAGCCTAATCCCCAAGCTAAATGTTTTTCTGCCATTACATTTACAAAATTAAAACACTCTTCCTTATCATGCATGGAATTTTATTTCTTGTTTTGTCTAAATGTTTGTTTATATTGAAAGCATGCATGTTTTCTTAAAGTATTTTGTGTTGCTTTTTAAAGAATATTTTCAGAACTGACAGACTTCTAGATGGTAAATCAAATCAAACAATGATAATTTAGTATTTCAAATTATAAATGAGTCCATTACTAAAAGAAAGCTACATATCTTTAAAATCTTTTAAATAGTCTTATTTATTATTAATAGACAAGTCATGGCATTAATTTCTTTACAAAGTACACATTTTTTATGTCTCTACAAATACTATTTTAGAATCCTTAAAATGTATTCTTCCTTATATATACAATTTATATATTTAATTCAGAATGATGAACAAAATTTTTCATGATTAATGCTAATATCTTATTGACATGAGACAGGAAAGTAATAACCCAAGCTGGATTTAAAGTTGAATTTATGACACCATTCGGATTGTGCACAATAGCTGCAATTACCTGCACCACTCATTCTGAGCCACTAGATGGTGTAAAAAAATAAATTGAAAGGTAAAATTTCATCCCATCGCGACGAAATCTAAATATAACTCTGAGAAACTTGATTAAACAAATCTCAAGTCAACTAACAATGCAAGTGATTTCTATACTAACTGTACTTAATTTATAATGTCAAGCATTCAAAATTGCAGTTATTCACATATTAAATGAATTTATGGTATTAACTTATGGTCTGAGTTTGCCAAAGTTTTGATAAAACTGGAAGGCCAAGTCAATAAAGACTACTAGAAAGTCTCAAGATACTCCTAGCTGAACTTGTCCAAAGGAGGTAGGGAAATAAGTCTGCACAAACATAGACTCAACCCCAAAGCAACCTGACTACTCACAGCCAAGACGCCCATCAACAGCCCAGAATATGTCCAAATCACATCAAGGGAAAGCTAAGTGTCCTTTCTTTTTCACCCTCACCAAGATTAACCAGGTTGATTCCACTAGGTCCGAAGTTGGGTGACAATGAACACTGAACCTTATTCAGCCAAAGGTAAAAACATTCTGGCTAACAGGTCTTCTTTCTGAGCTCTTTTTTCAAACACCGAAATGAACCCCAGGTAAATTACTCATCTCTAGAAGGCCCTTAATAAATATGATCATGATGGTGAAACTTCAAGCCTTGCAAAAAGCTGGCAGAGGAATTATTTTTGATCAGCTCTCTCCTAAATAATAGCATAAAAATTTTAGATGGACGTATGTGCTTCCCATGGGCTGGAACACCTTTAACCTTTGTTCTCTAATCAGGCTTCATGAATAAAATTAGTCTCTGCAAAACAGGAACTACCTCCCTTAGAATCCTAAAAGTATGATACACATGTATAATTATACTTTTAATTTCATGTTAACAGAAAACTATTTTCTGAGGCAATAGTAGAAATAAGACATGCCTCTGGTTGCTTGTTTCCCAGCCAGTTCTGAAAGCTGGTGCTCTACCTAGGCTTTCAGCAGCAAAGACAACCTGTCTCATAAAGAGGGTTTTATAAGTAGATCCACATGGGCTTTATAAATTTCATATTTAAGAAAGGAGTATAATAGCTATATACCATTCACTCCTATAATCTGAACTTGCAAGTAAAATCTAATCAACGTTTCAGTTTTATAAACAATTGCAGTTAAATTGGTTTTAAAAAGACTGTGAGCTATATAAATTTAGGAATGATTCCAAGAAAGTTTCTTGACACGAGCTGAAACTAATCAGTTTGATTTCTCTATTAAATAACTCAAAAAGCTGTTGTCTTAACTCAGGACAATTTAATGCTCAATAACAGGCTTAATCAAGACTTGTAATGTGCCTATCTGTAGTGTCCAAGAACTGAAAGCATCTTTCTGGGAACAACAGTAATAAAAACTCATACTAATGAGCAGAAGACTGAGAGAAATAAGTGACCAGTCTCAGCTTTGGGCACCTTAACTAGCAATTATCATAGTTGGCTTTATTTACTTTATCACAGTTGTCAGAATGGGTTCTGGCACATTGTAGGTGCCGAAGGGAAGGAGGGAGGAAGGGAGGGAGGACAGGAAGGAAAACAAAGGGAAAAGCACTGGTCTGGGAGTCAAGAACACAGCTCAAGTCATGACTCTGGCATCTTCTTGGCCCAAGTTCCTTTATCTATAAAACCAAGAATTAGATGATCATCATTGAGACCCATTACTCTAACATTCGATGATTTTCTGTTATGATTTTATGCACCAGCCATCTAGTGTTAAAATTCAGTATGTGATCTTCTTTCCAAATTGTCTTCTGCATCTAACAACTACCTCATACCATCTCTCTGAAAACTCCAAAATATTTCTCTTATCAAGAAAGAAACCACATCAGACTCCTAGACTTATGATTTAACATTTTCTACTTATATTTAAATTGTTTTCATCCATCATTTGTTTCTAAAGTAGTCTTGTAAGTAGACAAAGAGAAATTTTTAAATCCCCATATTAAAATAGGGGAAATTAGAATATGAAAATTAAGGGAGCTCACATACATTACCAGAAGTATATTCAAGATAAGAAACTTGACTTTTAGATCTAAGGAAAGAAAGATTCTGAATAATCCAGTATTTTAAGAAGCAGATACAAGTATATATATATATATATATATATATGAATATGTATATGTATATATATGATGGGCTTGTAGAAATATACTTTGCCATTTTGTTTACAAACACGGTATGCTAAACAACTTAAAGGCGAGGTGGCTCACGCCTGTAATCCCAGCACTTTGGGAGGCTGAGGCAGGCGGATCACCTGAGGTCAGGAGTTCGAGACCAGCCTGACCAACATGGAGAATCTCTCTCTCTACTAAAAATGCAAAATTAGCCAGGCGTGGTGGCGCATGCCTGTAATCCCAGTTGTTTGGGAGGCTGAGGCAGGATAATTACTTGAACCTGGGAGGGGGAGGCTGTGGTGAGCCGAGATCATGCCATTGCATCCCAGCCTAGGCAACAAGAGCGAAACTGTGTCTCAAAAAAAAAAAAA